CTCTTAGACGTGTGTCTGGGTAAAGACGTGTTGTCCGAAGTTTTCTTCTCAGCTACTAGACTTGTTTCAGCTCTTCAAGAAACCAGCAAGTGTGTGGGCATACAGGAGATGTTCTGTTGGCAAAATAGCGTACATACATTGGCAAAGAAAGGAACGAGTTCATACCCAGGTTTCGCATTTATAGGCAGTACTATGGACACTACTTCAAGGAAAATACGTGTTTATAAAGTTCGTTAAAACATGTGAGTGCAAATAATTATATTGTGTATATTTTCGATATATATATATATATATATATTTTGTGTGTTAAATATTTGTAGATGATAGTTAATCGTGTTACACTTCAGGTGTACTTGAAAGTTTTATAAATTCTTTATACCGCAGTGTGTAAGGGATAATGTAATTTACGCATTTGTTATTATTTATAGGTACTCATATGTCACTGATATGTAAATGTCGATTGTCGCGTTTAAACAAATTAATAGTAAAAGACATTTGACTAAAAAATTTTAAAATTTAATATATATATATATATAGATATATATATATATATATATATATATATATATATATACAATATTGAATACGATGACAAGGTAATTTATTTAGTTTTTTATACAATTTCTCAAATTAATAAAAGCACCTTGGCTGTCGTATTCAATGAAATGTGAATAAGAGAAGGATTGCTGCCTAAATACAAAAAACACACACACACGCATATATATATATATATATATATATATATATATATATATATATATATATATATATTTAAATTTTTTAATGTAATTATATTATATAATTTTAATTTAATTTAGTAAGTTATTTATGTATTTACTTATCTAAATAATACAAAGCTATTTTAATTTTATATTTTTGTGGTTATGAATATTCGCTAGAAAAAGAAATATTTCATTTAAGAAAAGAGAGACAAATATATATATATATATATATATATATGTGTGTGTGTGTGTGTGTGTGTGTGTTTATATATCTATGTATATAAATATATATTTAATCGCAGAAAGAAATGGCAACTTACTGCGGTAAAAAATCTGTCTCGTCAGTCATGTATCGAAAGATACATGATCGCCTAAGCGTGTGTCACGTATATCACGTATGGCACATAACTGACTGTATATATATTTGTGTGTGTGTCTGTGTGCGTCTGTGTTAGTGAGAGAGAAAAAAGAGGAGTAGATTAAAACAGAGAGATATGTATGTATGTATGTGTCTATGGATATGTGCATATATTTTAAATAAAATAAAAAATTAGGCTTTCCGTTGTTACGTTGATTATGCAGTCAAATGCGATGATATTTTAATGCGTGCAATCAATTCTACATGCTTTTTTTGTTTTTTTTTTAGCCTGGAGATAGGTGAAAATTCGGACGCTGATCATCTGAGTCGTGACAGATGTACGAGGGTGTCGACGTAGCGTTAGGAATTATGGAAAGCGTCTACGAAAAGTCGCCTTGTATGATTGAGGAACGACACGACACTGCGGAGCTGGGTCTCGATCTTTCCACGTGTGCAGAAGGAATACATGCATACGGGTGCTCTTGAAATGAAAGTCATTGTAACGACACCTGACAGCACGTGGACTTGGCCGTCACACGCGCACACACACAGTCACACACACAGACACACAGGCACATACATACACAGACGGATATGTCTCAAATATATTCCCTGTCACTAGATTTCTCTTTCTCCCCCCCATCTGTATATCATATATATATATATATATATATATATATATATATATATATATATATTTATAGGGGGGCGTGTGCGTGTGTGTTTTTGAAAAATATAATTTTCAGTAAGAAATTTACGGATAAAGTGTTCAATATCAGGACTAAAACTTTATATATATATATATATATATATATATATATATGTTTGTATTCATATTTATATATATATATATATATATATATATATATATATATATATATATATATAAATACCTATAAATATATATATATAAATATACAAATATATATATATATATATATATATATATATAAATATATATATAAAATACCTATATACATGGATATATATATATATATATATATATATATATATATATATATATATATATATATATATCCATATATGTATATATCTATGTATGTATACACACAAAACACACATATATATATATATGTTCCACACATTATATTCTGATATTGTGCACAATATATATATATATATATATATATATATATATATATATATATATATATATATATATATATATATATATATATATATATATATATAGGGTGGGGACATTCAGCCAACCTGAAATATAGACAGTCTAATTTCATGCCTGTATGCAAACTTGTGGCATATTGCTTGCGTGCATGCATATCTCTCTCTCTATCTATCTGTCTGTCTATCTATCTATCTGTCTGTCTATGCATCTATCTGTCTATCTATCTATCTACCTAGTTTAGTTTTTATCTATATTCTATCTATGAGAAACTAGCTAGATTTTTTTCTCAAAATCTAAATATCTATCTGTAATGTGCATATCTAATGTGTATATCTCTCTATCTCTATCTATACTCACCTCTAAATCGATATATATATATATATATATATATATATATTCATATATATCATATATATATATATATATATATATATCTATCTAAATCTAATTCAAATTAATCAGACCTATCTATCTATCTATCTATCTATCTATATATATATATATATATATATATATATATATATATATATATATCTATCTACCATATATATATCTATTTGATATAAATCATTGTTACATATAAATGTTTAAAATATCAGGTATACTGTGTGAATAAATATAAATGTGGCCACTGAGATAAACACCGCGTGGCGACAGTCTATTTCACGCTGAAAGCAATCTTCAGGCCTGAAGTTTGCAATAATGCATGAGACAGGTTTTCGACCCTCGGTGCTGACCCGAACGTACACTTACATCTAATAATAGTTATAATAAATAGAATTATTTCAAAAAATACCCGAAAATGCGTGATAGTTTTGTTGAAAGTGCTCAACAAGCATTTGTAAACCTTCCCATCCTTTAAGTTCAGTTTGACAAAACGCATAAAACAAAAAAAATATATTTAATAAACCCTAAGTAAATTAACATGTTTGACTAGTTTTGTAAACTATGCACACACACAGACATATATAAATACATATTGTGTATTTAGGCAGCAATCCTTCTTTTCTACATGTTTTCTTGAGAAAAAAAATTAAAATGCAAAAGCCAACACTCAGTAACGTTAACTACATACACGGCCTCAATGTGCTAATTTTTTTTGGTAAAATAATACATTGCTATAATTCTAGAAACCTGATAGCTTGACCCACAACACCTTTTTAAAAACTCTTTTCTCCAATCATACTTTATAAT